TCTCTCACACACACACACACACACACACACACGTATACACACACGTACACACTCATGTATCCATATGCTTACTCAAGCACAAACACACGCACATTCAGCCGATGTATGTTGCACACTATAAAATGCAATGAGAGGTTGAGACAGCGACATCGTTGCGTGTGACAGCCAAGATCACCTGAATAATTCATCGCATAAGTTGCATATTGCAGAGCCGGGGAAAATCCTACCCCTTCCCTCCTTCCTCCCCCCCCCCTGACCTTCCCTTCCTTCCTCCTTCCTCCCTCCTTCTTCCTCCCCCCTTCCCTCTGCCCTCCCTTTCCTGACTCCCCTTCCTCCCTCCTTCCTCTCTTTCCGCTTCCTCCCTGCCCCTTCCTCCTTCCTTTTTCTCCTTCCATCAAAGGACTGCCTCAGCCGATTATAGCTCCCTTGATAAAAGCGGGGAGACGGCAAAGGGAGGGGAGAGAGGGAAGGGGGGAAGTAGGAGAGAGAGGGAAGGAAAGGAGAAGGGAAAAGAGGGAGGGGGAGAAGGAGAGAGAAGGAAGGAAAGGGGAAAGGGAAGAAGGAGAGAGAGGGAAGGAAAGGAAAAGGGGAGGGGGAAGGGAAGAAGGAGAGAGTGGGGAGAAAAGAAGAGAGGGAAGGAAAGGAGAAGGGGAGAGAAGGAAGGAAAGGATAAGGGGAGGGGGAAGGAGAAAGGATGAGAAGGAAGGAAAGAAAGAAGAAGGAAAAGAAAGAAAGGGAAAGAAGGGGACAGAGGAGAAATGAGAAGTTGAAGGGAAAAAGAAGGGGAGAGAAGTAAGGAAAGGGGAAGGGGAAGGGAAGAAGAAAGGGAGAGGGGAAAGAGAAGGGAAAAGTGATGGAGAAGGAGAAGAAGAGAAGAGGAAGGAGAATTCCCGTTGCCCCTTGACGGCGGGTATTAAATTTTCGCAGGGATGTAAATAATAAAAGGTAAATAAGGTGGAAAAAATATCTAACTAATTTTCTCGCTGAAAAGAAAGTGAATTATAATTCTCTCTCATCTCTCTCTCCTGCCACATCATCTCGTCTTAACCCCTCTCATCTCTCTCTGTCTTCTTCTCTCTCTCTCTCGTCTCTACTCTGCATCTCTTCTCTCTCCCTCATCTATCCTCTCTCTCTCGTCTGATGCGTCTCATCTCCGCTTCTTCTCTCTCTCATCTCTCTCGATTCCTCTCAGTCTCTCCGTCTCTCGGTCTCTCATCCTCTCTCCCTTTCATCTCATCTCTCTCTCCATTCTCTCTGCTCTCTCTCTTCTCTTCTTCTCTCTTCTCTCTCTTCCTCGTCCGATCGTCTCTCTCTTACTCGTCTCCGGTCTCCCCTTCCTTCTTCTCTCTTCTCTCTTCTCTCTCTTCTCACACACACGACACAACGAAAGATCATGCACACCACACACCACAGCACACACACACACACACACAACACACACACTCACACATTCGCTTTCACAACATCATTCTGATGTTGTTCATCTAGTCTACCATGCTACTCTTAGTTACAGAGTATAATATTGATTTTTTATCAATTTTATAGAGTCAGGTATTAATAATTAATGTTTAGTATCTCATATATAGTTATACATTACTAATAGTTATTTATTTTTATTGATATAAGATATACAGTATAATCTTTTTATTATATATGATATCATATATTATATATACATATATTATTAAATATACACATAGTGATTAGTATTATATATATAGTATATTATATAAGTTGTTTTTTATGCCTTAGGTATTATTATATACACCAATATTATAATCATTTATACTTATATTATAATTAGTGTAATATATATTATATATATTATATATTATAACACAGTATTATATATATATTATTCTACTACATCTATTCTATATTGTGTGTTGTGTGATCATGTCTAGTGTTGCGTTGATGTGTGTGGTGTGTGTGTGTGTGTGTGTTGTGTGTGTGGTTGTGTGTTTGTGGTATGTGTATCGTGAGTGTGTGTATTGTGTGTGTGTGTGTTCTGTTTAGTGGTTGTGTTGTAGTGTGTGTGCGTGTGTGTGTTTGTGTGTGTGGTGTGTGTGTGTGTGTGTGTTGTGTGTGTTGCTGTTGTGGTGTTGTGTGTGTGTTGTGTGTGTCGTGTATGCTGTATGTGTATATTGTTAGATGGTATGTGTTATGTTGTATGTGTAGATGTGTATGTGTTATAGTTGTTATAACATACTATATACACACTAATATTAGTACGTATAATATATATATAATACGTATAACACTTTTCTACTATCCTTACCTCTCTTATTCTCTCTCATCTCTTCAATATCTTCTCTAACTCAATATATTATGACCGCTTCACCTATATATGTGTGTAGTTGCGTGTGTTGTGTGTCTGTCGTTCTGTGTCTGCTCTGTGTTGTCTTCGTCTTCTCGTCCTCGTTCGTCTTCCGTCTGCTTCGTTCTGTGTGATCGTGTATCAATAGACAAGATGACCCATCGATAATCCATAAGAATCTCT